AAGTGTAATGGAGAGTACTTTGAAGGTGATAAGGCTGGTTTAAAAAAAATTAAATACATAGCTTTTGGGGGGAAATAGGTTTTTTTGGGGGGGTATCTCCTCATATACCTTAAATAAATAAAGAACAAAACATGAACAGATATATGCATATCCATGCTTATCAATTTATATAACACCAGCAACTTATATAATAGTAAGAAGATGGAAACGATAAAAAAAAAGTCTGTGAAGGAATGCATAAATAAATTCTGGTACATACACACAATGATAGAATATTATACACCTTTAAAACACAAAGATGTAGCTGCCAAAAACCTCATGACATGGACAAAACTGGAGAACATTATGCTCAGCAAAGTTAATCCATCTCATAAAGATAAATATTCCTTGACACCATTATTATAAAAGAAAAAAAACAAGGTAAAAATGGTTTCCATACCAAGGAAAAGACTTTGAAGACTATGACGAGGTGGAGGTAGAGCAGGGGGAGTTGGGAGGGGCAGGAAGGGGAGGAAGGGGAGTGGGGTGGGTAAAAGGAAGCTGATATCAAGGAGTTAAGAAAGAAACGAATGTTTTGAAACTGATGTGGCAATAATTGAACGCTACTGATGTGATTGAACTATGGAATGATATATGTGTATTAACTCCCAATAAAATTATTTTGGGGGAACAAATGTCCAAAGCACCTGAGACAGCTTCAGCATCCTTGCCTCTAAGGAGCATTCTGGTTGTACTTCTTCCAAGATAGATTTGCTTGTTCTTTTGTCAGTCTATGATATTTTTCAATATTCTTTGTTAGCGACATAATTCAAATACATTGATTCTTTGTTGGTCCTCCTTAGTGGATGCACAACTTTCCCATGCACATGAAGTGATTGAAAATACCATGGTTTGGGTCAACTGCCAAAGCACTGAGAATCCTGGCCCAGTTGACACAAACCTTAACAACATCCGTCCTACACTTTCACAAAGCACCTTTAAAGCCACCAGAAGATGCATTATCCATGTTAAATCATCATCATTATTATAATTGTATTGTCGCTTCTAGAGTAGAGTCTTGTTTGCTAGCTTGCTTTACTACTTTATGGAGATTCTGTAGAGTCTTTATTTCTGAAATTTTCTGAATAGAAAGTTTTACACACACACAAATCAATACAATCCCACCCGTTTCCCCCTTCAAAACGTACATGTTACATACACATGTTCATAATTGTAGGAAATGTGAGAAAAGGCAGTTCAACTAGAGGAGGGGAAAAAATCATTCCATCATCAGGTGGTGAACCAATGCCAACCTTGAGGCGTTGATCCTTTCGGATGCTTTTCCATGTCAGCGTTGTTGATGGTGCCATAGCGTCCGTTCTGACTCACAGACCCGACGTTCAATAGAACAGAACACTGCCCGGTCCTGCCCCATCCTCACAGTTTTTCTATGTTTATACTCATTGTTAAAGCCACGGTGTCAACATATCTCCTAAAGGATCTTCCTCTTTCCTTCTGACCCTTTATCAAGCACAATATCCTTCTCCAGGGATTGGCCCTTTCTGATAACATATCCAGTTATGTAGGTTGAAGTCTCACCATCCTCGCTTCTAAGAAGAGTTATGGTTATAGTTCTTCCAACACAAATTGGTTCATTCTTCTGGCAGTTCCTGGTAGAGTCAATCCTCTTCGCCAACACCATAATTCAAAGCTATCAGTTTTGCCAACCTACTGGATTTTAAGTGGGCCATCTCAGAAGCAGGAAGGCAGATTTCACTACCACCAAGAAAGAAGAGCCAGGTGTGGAGTGTGTCCTTTAGACCCCAAGATCTCTGTGCATTGAACTGTCTCAGTTGAGGGACAGAAAGCCGTGACATCAGAGAAGTGACAGAGAAGCAGCAGCAGAACCAAGAGCCAGAGCATGAATGGTGCTTTTTCCAGCCCATGGAGCAAATGAAACAGTGCCTTTGGACAGGAGGCTCCCTTGCAGAGTAGGCTTCCGCTAGGCATTTAACTGGGAGCTCTTAACTTGCAGAGTAGGGTTCTTCTAGGCATTTAACTGGGACAGGAGGCTCCCTTGGACAGGAGGCTCCTTTGGACAGGAGGCTCCCTTGCAGAGTAGTCTTCCTCTAGGCATTTAACTGGGAGCAGTTAACTGGGAACATTTAGCTGGGAGCTTTTTGACCCATGGAGCTAGAGCTGAGTTTCTTCAGGCTAAAGCTTGTGTTGGAGTGGTGTGCCCTTTGGGCATTTATCAGTAGAGCTAAAAGAATTTTTTTGCATTGCCCAAGTAGGGCCGCGGCCAAGAGGCTGGAAGGCCAGAGAGAGGCTTGCCTGTGGACATAGATGAGAATGACAACTATCCTGAGCATTTCTGATCTTGAATTATAACCTGTTACCTTCTATAATAAAGCTTGTAATCGTGCATATGATTTGTGAGTTCAGTGTGGCCATCACAATGAATTATAAAGCTACACGGAGAAGTATCGAGTGCTGTGTAAGGGACAGTTGGTGTTAGAATTGGTAAGGAAGGTTGGCGGATGGATGCATGTCTGACCCCCACCTTGGGCTGAAGCTGACGGTGCTTCTCCTTTGGTCTTCCCTGGTGTTCAGTCAGAAGAGATATTGCACTCGCCTTTGTAAAAGACTGGAGGGAGGACTCCAGCCCACTGAGGGCCACGCTCATGGAATCCTCAGGCTCCAAGCCCACCCTTTGTTGCTCTTCTTTACGTGGCCTCGTTCCCACATCCACATCGTGATCCCAGTGGCTGCTCCACCGTCACGTGGGGAGTTACAGAGTTGTAGGAAATAGGAAGAGAACATGAAGAAGGCGGACATAGAGTACAGACTAACTAGCTATCTTTTTCTAAGGTTACTTGCAGGTGGTTGTTTGAGTTGATTCTGATTAGGGAAACCCCGTGTGACAGACTAGGACTGCCCTGCAGGGTTTTCTGGGCTGTAATCTTGATAGAAGCCAATATCAAGGCCTTTCTCATGCTGAGCTGCTGAGGGGCTCAAATTGCCAACGTTTCAGGTAGGAATTTTCAAGTGCCACCAGGCCTCCTTCTCTTGAAGGTGACAGGCATTTATTTGTACTTGACCTCCTCATTGCTAGAACATGGTCACCTAACAGGACCTGGCTGATGGGTGTTGGGAAATGTAATCTTCATTCAGGGTGATTATCTCTCCACCGGCTACTGTGGTAAAAGAGAAAACCAAGGTTGAGAATAACTGGAAATGGTGCTGCACTTAGCTTGCCTTTTTGTCTTGGGTGGGGCTAGAGCCATGGTTCCAAAGACCGGCATTCAAGATGGCAACAGTTTTCTGACTGGCACCCAAAGACATTCCGTACCATATTTGAAGTCACCAGTCAAAATTCTCACAATACTTCCCAGAACCTCACGAGTATTTCTCACTTCCTCCTCAGGGATGGGCTTATAAAAGCCATCGGTCCTGCTGACATTATCCAAAGACAATTCTCTGAAGAAACCTTCGAAGAGAAAATCGACTGTTCTGGGAAATGTATTTTGCCAGGTACTTGCCTCTTTTTCTGGGAAGCCCCAAAGCAGTCATAACGCCAAGAGGAGGAGCAGCAGCTCGTTTCAATAGGATAGGCCACGACAATGGTCACAAATACTAAGAGCTACCACGTATCGCACTTTCCCAGTGTTTTTCCAGCACGATTCCATGCTCACTGTGATAACATCCCTATAACGTCGGTGTCATTACCTACTTGTTACAGGTCGGAAAACCGAAATTCGGATGTACAATCTTGTACCCAAGGTTGCTAAGTTGGGAAGGAGCAGGTTGGGCTTCAAACCTACGAATTTCCTCCCATTCGCATGTTGAAGAGGAATTAACTTGTGTTTAGGTTCAAAACTTTCAGAATAACTATTAATTCATTATATACCCATTGCTGTTGAGCTGATTTTGACTCATAGGGACCATATAGGGCAAAGTAGAAGCCCATCAGGTTTCCAGGGAAGCCTACTCTCTGATCTTTTTCCTGAGCAGCAGGTGGTGGGCTGGAACCGCTGACTGGCCACTGAGTGCTTTAACCACTGTGCTACTAGAGGAGGCAAATAGAACAAGCTGTTGTTTCAAAGTCCAGAATCTATTTGTAAGTTTTTATGGAGTTGAAACAAAGCACCTAGTTCTACATGGAAGAGGCAACAGAAAACAATTTTAGCGATTCTTCTGCCACTTATTAATTATTAATAATTAATTAATTATTAATTGAGAATAGAATCAGTTAACCAACTACCATTACCTTTTACAGTGTCTGCTTTATGGCTCTGTGCAATTATCTGAGACAAGCTTCCCACCTTTCGAGCTCTACATACATTTGTGGTGTGCTTTTGAATCAATTCCGACTCATCAGCTCAGCAACTCGTTGGCATCGAGTCGATTCCGACTGGTGTCGACTCTACAGGACAGAGTCGAACTGCCCCTGTGAGTTTCTGACGCTGTCGGTCTTCACAGGAGCAGAAAGCCTCATCCTTCTCCTAAGAGTGTCCGGGGCATTCAAACGGCTGACCTTGTGGTGAGCAGCTCACTGGGCAATCCACTACACCCCCAGGACTCCTTTTCCGACTCATAGCCACCTTACATGACAGAGCAAAGTTGCCACCAAGCACTTAAAGACTGTGCTACCAAGTCTTAGACATGCGCATAGGAATGAGAATTTACATTTTGAAAATGTGCATCATACACATCAGACAAAGTGTCTCAACTTTCAGCTCGTGGGGATCAGGAGAGAAAATTGGGGTAAAACCTTTTGAGAACGAATAGACTGTAGTAGAAAGTTATCTGGGTAGGGATTTTTGATTCGAGTTCCAGCAGAACTGCCAATGAGCTATTTAATCCACAACCAGTTACCCAGTTGCTGTCAACTCTGCAAAAGGAGCTGTACTTTTCCGAAGGGATACAGGTCATAACGCTGTGACACCCGGTTGCTTAAAGGCATAGCGAGCAGCCATATCACAGGAGTTCTTGTGTCCTCTGGTTTGGGCACTTTCCGCGGGAACCAGACACATTCTTCCTCTCACAACACTCACATCCACCCACCATGCTTGTCCAAGGGCAGTAGGGCTCAGGCTGCCGGCCACCCGAGGACCATCTGTTCTTTAACGCTGCCTTAATTTGTGTGTTACAGGTCTGGTGGATGCACACACACACCCAGTGTGGGCTGGAGAGAGGGTTCACGAGTTTGCGATGAAGGTAACTGCCATCGATGATGACACATTGAGATAAAGCACGGACCCAGGCATGGCGTTTTCGCTGATGTTCATAAGCTTTACATGCCTACATGTCTCTGTCATGGATATTTCTACTGGCCTGGATGGTGACAAATAAATGACGACCAGATTAACGTATTTGTCGCTCCCCCAAATCTCTGTACCACAAAGAGGCTTCACAGTCATGTTAAGTATCATAGGTCTCAAAATTGGTTAGCTCTAAATCCTCTCTTTAAAATCAGAGCTGAATGTATTTGTCAGGTAATTTCTCCTCTTTCCTATCCCCGCATTCCCCCCCACTCCTGGAAGCCTTTGAAGGGGTGCCAAGAGAGCAGTCTGAAAATCCCCGCCCACTGGGTCGCTTGGAAGAACAGATGACCAATCACAAACATAAAATAAATCTTATATCTTTTTTTACCAAATGAATAATCTTTAAATATAATCTACACGATAAAAACCAAACTCAGCCAATTGGGTCAGGTCAGGTGGGACTCATGGCGACCCCATGTGTTCTAAAGCACCACTGAGCCCCAGAGGGTTTTCTCGGTTGGAGTCTGAGTGGAAGTTGAGCACCCTCCAGAGCTAACCATGAGCACCATCGAATCCACTGCTATCAAGTTGACTCTGATTTACAGTGAGTGACTCTAAGATTAGCACTGCCTCTTTGGGTTCCTAAGACCTTAAATCTTTAGATCACCTCAACCTTCCCCCACCCCACCCCTGCCCCGCAACTGATGCCCCAGAACCACCCACCTTGTGATAAGCAGCCTAATGCTTAACGAACACGGCCAGGGTTTCGGTAAACTGCGGTTTGTGAGCCACAGGCGGCCCTTTTGGTACGTACATGTGGCTCTGCAGTGAAATTGAAAATGAAAATAAAACTATCCCGGTTTCATTTGAAAGGTATTATTCAGATAATGGTGATTTCATTGGCTTGTTGAAGATAGGGTTATGGCTCTCGGATAAATTTTTAATTGTGAAGGACAGGTTCTTCCATCTAAAAAGTTTGCCAACCCCTGAACTAGACCACCACGGCTTTTTCGCATCATCGAGGAACCTTATGTTAAGGCTCCCTGACGGCTCTGTGGGCAAGGTTGGGTTGCTAACTGCAAGGTTGATGGTTTTCGGGAGGAAGATGAGGCTGTCTGCTCCAGTAAAGATTCTGGATCTCAGAAACCCTCTACACGATATGTCCGCATGTCTATACAGACAGCACAGAGACCCCTGTGAGATGGAATCCACATGACGGCAATGGGTCTGAGCCGCACTTCACATCGGCCAGCACCAACACCTACACCTCTAGATGAAGCCAAGTTCGCTTATTTTTTTAAGTGCCTGTCAACAGCATAACTGGATTCTTTCAGAAACACAAAACTTACTGCCCATGTTGTGTAGCTTCCTTAACAAACGGGAGCTGTTTTTTAAAAACAAAAACAAAATTATTTATATTAAATCACAGTATTTCTAAACGGAAAGCAACCAGAGATTAGAAACTGAACTTGGATTAGACGGATGGAAAAGGGAGGTCCAGAGAAGGGATGGGAGTGGATGCAGTCACCAGCTAGCAAAACAGAGGGCTGGCTGCTGGACCAGAGGCAGGCATTTGTGCTAGCCCCAGCTCCCAGCTGTCTGCAGCCACTAGACCCAGCACTTTCCAGGTCGAGCCTCTTTACTTGCTTGCGTGACAGAGATAAGTCCCAACCGCCCCCCACCCCCCACCAGCTCCTGAGGCATGGGAGCAACACTTGGGGCTCCTTAGATGAAAGGTGGATGTCTGCAGAGCCGAACTCCAAATCGCTCAAGCCTCATGTTCTCAAACCTCGGCGGGACCAAGGCAGGGCGGAGAGTCAGCAGGTACCCACTGGGTGGTTGACTAGTGAAATACTTGATTAGCAGTTGTTAATTTCCCATTGCCCAGATCTGCCATCCCTACAACTCCCTTTGCTCCCTGCCTCGCCCTGCCAGGGTCCCCCCAATCCAGCCTCTGGCAGAGAGAGATGTGGCCCAGCACCTTGTTGATGCACCTGTGGCTCCTGGGCAAACGTTCTGAATGTGGCGCCTGGACGCAGGTTCTGTCCACGTTGGCCGGGCTTCAGGGGAGTTTGTGTTCAGTTGGCAGGAGCCTCGTACATGGATATTCACCAGGCTGGCGGCGGGATCAACTTCACGGTGGAGTGCACGCGGCAGGCCTCTGAAGACGAGCTGTTCGACTCCTTCCAGCAGCGACTTCAGTGCATGATGAGGGCTGGCACCACGCTGGTGGAGTGCAAGAGCGGATACGGCCTCAACCTCCAGACGGAGCTCAAGATGCTGCGTGTGATTGCGCGCGCCCAGCGGGAGTTGGAAGTCAGCATTTCGGCCACTTACTGCGGGGCTCACTCCGTGCCCAGGTAATCGCATTGGCTGGGCGCAGGGTTCAGTCCAGGGCATGGAGAATGAAGGGGAGGGCTGGCTAGAGCCCAGGGGATGGAGGAGCACCAAACCCGTGTCTACTGCTGCAGGACCGGTAGAAGTCTTAAGGAAGGTGTTTGTCTTCTGTGGTCAATTCTCTTACACGTGGTTTTAGGCAGGAGATCCACCCCTACGCTGTGAGTTTCTGAGACTGTAACTCTTCCCCCCCCAGCCCCCCCCTCACCCCATCATTTGCAGCTGTACTCAGCAGTGAGTAATTTTTACAAAAAGATTACTTGAGTTACTGGCTTTTAAGTTCAAGGCTTTTAAAAAACCGGGCCTGTGAAGTTCTCCCTTTCCCGTTAGTGGTTTTGTGGGGGTGGAGGAAGCCCCAGCTGAAACACAGGGCTATTTCCGTTGATTTGAGAAAAATGTTAAGGATGTTTGGCTCTAACTTAACAAAGGCCGATGGACTTCATAAGGAGACTGTAACTCTTTATGGAATAGAAAGCCTCGTCATTTTCCCAGAGCGGCTGGTGCCTTTGAACTGCTAAACTTGCAGTTAGCAGCCCAACAGGTGATTACTGTGCCATCAGGCTCCTCCTGAAAACCCCGCGGAGCACAGGTAACACAACATCAACTCAAACCGTGGGGTTGCCAGGAGACAGAGCCCAGTCACCAGCGACTGCTGTTGTATGATTTTTTTTCCCCTCTCTTATTGGGCTCTACAAAGTCCTTTATCTACTTTACACCTTCCTTTTATTTGTTCGGGGTTCCTTTTGACCCTAGAACTCAAAGGACCAAAGAAAGTCCAGGACTTGTTTATGCACGTGGCATCCCCAAAGTCTTAGTGCCCTTGTAAGTTTAATTGTTTTAGAAATAAGACAGAGCTTCAGAAAATTCGTGGAAAAATTGAATGAGAAGCTCATGGAATTTTTCCATGCCCTTTTTTTTGCCAAGTCACAGGCACATTTATTATCTCCTGGGAACATGGTCTTTCACTCCCCAAAGTGGCTTCGGTCCACAGGGGAGGGCCAAGCCCCTCAGGTGGCAGCGCCGCCGCCCCCTGGAGCAGGCCCGTGGGGCGGCAATGTCATGGGTGGCAGAACAGGGCCAACCGGCTGGCAATCTCAGAATCCTGGGCTTCGTAGGACTTGACCAGGAGGGCAAACTTCAGGGCAGACCCCATCCCCATCGCAGCTGAAGTCATAGGCTTTGATGACCTCCTGCAGGATCTGCATGCCCCGGGCAGAACAAATGGCAGCATCTTGCCCAGGTCATTGCACGCGTTGTCCCGTGCTTCGTCCGTGCGCACGGCGTTCTCTGGGGCCGAGTGCCTGGATGACTTCGGCCAGGACCCCTTGGCCTGTTCCGCGCTCAGTGCTGCGGGCTGGGCGAAGCGGACGCCATGGGAAGAACCACCTCTCCAGAAACTTGCTAGACAAATTCTAAATGAACTGTAACACTTCCATGCGCTCTTTTGAAGCCCCTTGTTATACATGCATACAAAACGTACCAATACTTAAAAAAAAGTATTTAAAAGCTCAATCATTTAAGCTTCTTTTATACTTAATCAGTTTGGTGAACTTGGATCGACACATTTTCGGGGTTGGTTGCTGCTGCTGCTTGCTTCGTCCAGGGTCAGCCGTCCTCAGTTAGAGGAACTGAAAGCTCAACATCAAATTCTGGTGTTCAAAATGCAAAGAGAGGTAGAAAAGAAATATAATAGTTGATGTTTCCAGTGATGTTCGTGCTAAGTCATTCTTCACGTTTATGCTTCTGAAAAAATTAAAACTTCACACTGCACCAAGACTTGGGGGACATCCTGCCTCTGGGAAAATGGGAGATGTTTTCAAATGGATCACCATGTGAATGATAGTCTGATTGGGGTTTTGTTTTGTTTCAGGAGGGAAGGCAGTATGGTGTGATGGAAAAGTCTTGGTTTTTGGGTGATTCCAGACCTGAGTTTTAGTTCAGATCCCTCGTGGCATAGTGGGGTAGGAGTGGAGCTACTAACCGCATGGCCCGCAGTTTGAATTCACCAGCCGCACCATGGGAGAAAGATAAGACTTCATGTTTCCGCTCGGATGAACAGCTTGGAAATCTTATCAAGGGTCATCATGAGTCAAAATTAGTGTGTTTGGGGCTTGGGGAGCCACTTCCAGCTGGTGGTTCTGAGGGCGTTCCTTAACTTTCTTTTAGCATCAATTACTCATATAAAATAGGGCTAAATAAGAATAATAAAACAACTACCATAGATTGGACTTCAGCTCATGGTGAACCTTTACAGGTAGGGCTGTGCTCTTGAAGGCTTTCAACAGCTGGTTTTTCTGAAGCAGATTGCCAGAACTTTCTTCAAGGTGCTTCTGGATGGATTGCCTCTTGATTAGTAGCAACTGAATTTGCATTAACAGATTGTACCACTTGGGGCTCCACGGATCTAAGTACGTGTCCCCACCCCCACACATCAAAACCAAACAAACAAAAACATTCTCTGGCATGGAGCAGATTCTGACTCATGGCGATCTTATAGGACAGGATAGAAC